CACACACACACACACTCAGTGGAGGATAACAAGCATGATTACATACCAGAAATGTCACTGATACTCTTTTGTCACTCCTTCTTTTCACACTTGTGTACATCATACGCCTGCACATGTACACACACGTTGAAGGGTGGCCAGTGAAGTGCCTGCAGCACTGCTAATAAAGAGTGACCTCATATGGGTTTCTAAGAGATTGGACTCAAAGACAGACAGACAGACAGAGAGCAACACATCAGAAGCAAATTGTTTACCAAAATAAAATACTCTCAGACCAGACAGAACAATGCCATGAAAGCAGTAAAATATGTCAGAGCTTGAGGAATATCCAGTGGAACAACACATGAAACCTCTTTTTATGTTTTTATCTCTTTTCTTCTGTGGTTCTTACCAATACTATTACATTTAAGAATAAAGAATAGTACTATTAATTTAATTCATTTTGTGTTGTTTTTCTTGCATTATAGTGTAATACTATACAGCTTTTGGGGTCAGTGGTAGAATGCAGTACATTTAATCAACTACTGTACTTACGAACACATTTGAAGTATCTTTAAATTCATGCTATTTCATACTTATGCTGCACTACATTTCAGAGGGAAATATTGTATTTTTTTTTATCCCACTACATTTATCTGATAGTTACTCAGTAGATGAAGATTCAATTCAAGAGGTTTATTGTCCTATGTACAGTAAGAAACACAGTGGTTTATATGTACAATGAAAAACTTACCTTGCCCGACTCCCTTAGGCAACACACTAATAGAAAAATAGAATAAAGTTAGAAATATGAAAAATTAAAATATAACTAAAATAGAACATATAACTTTAAGTGCAGAGCATTGTACAGTAAACTATTATTTTTTTTTTTTTTGACACACAATATGTGTGTTGGGCTGATCAAATATTATACACTGTAAGAGACTAGACTACTCAAATGTGAAGTAGTTTAAATTAGCTCCACCGGGAGCAACTACACCAGTTAAATGCTGCATAATAACAATGCAATAACCAATACTATGGTAGACATACCACTGGTGGTAGGTGAGCTCCCTCTAGTGGTATACGGAGGAATCTCTAAAATATATATTTTTTTTAGCAAAAACAAACATTTTAAATATAATATTAATAATATACTACAATTTATTAGGAATAAACCTGCCTCTTGCGTGAACTGTCTGTAGCTGAATAGGGTCGGCCTACGCTAATGAAATCTATCGCTCATAATGGTGGTACTTGGAGAGCCTAATATTTTCTAAGGTGGTATGTAATGTAAAACGTTTGAGAAACACTGCAAAAACATATTGATAAGACAATTCTCTTTTACTTTTGATACTTTTGCTAATATTACATTTTGTAAGTGACATTTTCAACAAAAGACTTTTACCCGTAGTTGAGTATTTATGCAGTTTTGCGACCTCCCCCACCACTGCTTTTGTGTCACAATTTTGGAATTATTATACATACATTGTAAACCTCTCACTACATGCTTTGACAATACTAAATTTCATTAATATTAAAAAGCTAACTTGAACTTGAGAGTGAGACAAAATGCAGATTTTAATAAGTAAGTAAGTGAATGACTGTCATGTCTGTATCTGTCTCTCTCACCCACTTCTACTCATGCAAATTGAGTACCAACTCACACCTCTGCAGGGCGCCATAGTTTAGCAGGGAGGCCTATTCAGGTCAAACAGCATGCAGGAAAAATATCTGGTGTCTGACATGTTGAACAGATACACTGATGTCACTCTGTTATCTGATATCAGGATGTTCCAACTGTTAACTGCTGTGCTAGATGGATCTCTTCCATTTGGGAAAATTGATTTGTGAAAATATTGGTTGGTCAACACTGATTATGCATTTGGAGCAGCAGTAACCACAATCATTATGGTGCTGCACATGAATGTGTGTGTTTGTGTGTGTGTGTGTGTGTGTATGATTGGAACAACATAGAGTTCACTTACAAAGATTAAAAACCTCACCACTGCTTCTTTAGAGAAGTGAAGAGTATTTAAAAACGGAAGGTGTAATGTACTGAAGGACATGTAGAGATGAAATTATTATTTAATGAATTAATCAAAAGATGGACGGAAATATAATCGGCAGCAAATCAGAACATCGATTTAAGTTATTTTTAAGCAAAACTAACACAAATTCACTTGTTCCTGATTTTGAAATATAAACATTTGCTGTTTTTCTTCAATGATAATACACTAAATACGTTTGAGGTTTGATCTGTTGGATGGACAAAATAAAAAATGTGATGACATCAAATTGGCAAATTGTGCCATTTTTAACAATTTTCTAACATTTTATTTACCGATTAATTTACAAAATAATTGATTAATAAAAAAAAAAAAGTATCCTTAGTTGCAGCCCTAGCTTAATACACAGCTTGTTAAAGCATCACAAAAGCAAAGACATGGAGACACCAGTCATGCAGAATTTAGCAACATTTTTATTTAGAAAAATAAATAATGACACAAAAACACAAAACATTTTGTACAAAGAAAACAAAATCAACATGAAACCATCACTTCATAAAACATCACTTCATTAAAGCGGAATTTAAATTTTATATATATAATATTATATATTTATTTTGTCATAATGCCAAAAATGTAGCCGTAACATTTTAAAACATGTAATTCTGTACATTCATTAATGGGTGCAGGACAAACAAGCAACAATGGAAATGTGTCAACCTTTGTCACCTTGTGAACTAAGATTTTAATGTTTAATTTGATTTAACACACATAAAATGTGTCAGATTTAATTTGACACGTGAACAGAACAGTTATTACAATCGAAGTCAATGATGCAGCAATCTTAGGAATCTGAAAGGGAACTGCAATGTAGTGGAGAAAAAGAGCTTTGGGAAAGGATGTTAAAACATACTTGGTGAAGCAGTTCTGTATGTCTGTCTATGATGAGGTCTATGATAACAATTCTGAAACCACATTCTCATAAACAGTAGAGTCATTTAGCATCTGTATATCTAATAGTAGATACTACAAAAGAGTATGGCATCAAGAGAAATATGAAGTACAGTACTGAGTCCAGTTCTTCATTGGGGGCACACATACTCATACTCACTCTCACATACTTCAGCTGATGTACTGTAGTGTTGTGACACATTTTTGACCTGATTTGTCCTATCTGTGGTACTTCATGTCACCAGGAAAGGAAAAATCAATGACAAAGAGCCAGAGGGGAAACAAACTGACTGTATCCTCTCCTGCCTGGTCGCATTTGTGCGTGTGTGTGTCTGATTGCCCAGTTTAGAAGTAAAATACTTCATATTAAAGCTGCATTAAAGCGTTTCTGACCACTAGAAGGTCGTAAGACTGGAATGAACTGTCAATTCCTCCTGACGAACAAACAGTATTATCAGTGTTTCCCACAGGTCGATTTGATTTCTAAATTCATTTGCAGTGGTTTCATTTTAGAGGCAGTGAAGCAGCAGCAGCAGCATTATATCAGAGGGATCATTTTTTCACTTTTAAATATATGCACAAGACATTTCACTCAACCTGAACTTTCAGCATATTTCCACACAGACTATCTTTAAAATAATAAATATAAAAATACACAAAAGAAAACATAATTCCCGAGATGAAAAATGTACGTGTGGGCTGCCTTGCACACATTTGATATTTTGGAAACGCAGATGCTAGAAAGCTGCTTATTTACACATCTAGTAAAAACAGAGCAACATAAGTATTCCAATGAAGCTAGCCACCTATTAAATGTACATCCAGTATCCACTGTCATTTTACCTCTGGCTTCATTCACCGGCTCCTGAAAAAAGGATTCTCTCTTTTAGCTGCTACATGTGTGACTTTCTTCACCAGTTACTTTCATTTGACATTTTGCATTATGTAGGTGCAGTTAGCTTGTGCTAACTCGTGCCAGGAGCAGCTCACAGTTTGATAATAAGCAGCATGGTTTTGAGAACCAAAACAAAAAGGTTAAAGTGGCTTAAATCTGCATATAGTATGGTGTTGATTCTCAGTGGGATCGGTAGTCCTATCAGTTCTTATTCATAACCAGGAGTCATTTGATTCAGTTTTTAATATAAAAACTAGCCTACTGCTTAATGCATCTTTAATATCAGTATTTATAGTATATTCTCACATCCTCAATTAAAATAGGAAAAAAAAAAGAGAAACAACCAATAAAATGGCGTAGGGTTGGGTATGGAGAATTGGTTCTGATTTGGAAATGATTTCATATTTTAAAAAAGTGAGTAAAAAAAGTTTTTACTGTAGATGGAGGACTCATAAAAACTGTGCAAAAATAGTTTTAGCATTTTTATGAACCCACTTGCAATCATCATTCATCTTCTGTATGGCAAGATAAAGAAGATTTATATTTTACCTTGAAACAAAAAAATATGAAAACGTAATTTATTACAAAACATAATTATGTTTTTTTCTTCTCAAATACTGTGACAAGAATCTGAACCAATAATAAATTAAAATCTAATTGATTCCCGACCCTAGAGATAGAACTTTTCATATTGTGTTTTTAAGGCTAATTTGTTGCCTCCAGCTCTGAGGTAAACCATCTCCAACCATCATGATATGTCAGAAAAAAGTAGAACAATCACGTGTGTGTGTGTGTGTGTGTGCGTGTGTGCAAATACCCAAACACGTATTTAAGTTTCTGGGCATTCATGCTCACATACTCACACTCTGTTGTGCAAAAAAAATTGTGTATGTTTGTAAGAGCATGTTCTGGTTTTAAGTTACTAGCAAACAGCACGCTGGCACAGAGAAGTTCCATGGAGGGAAATACTGAAACACAACACACACTCTTTGCCTCTCCTTCTAATTTCATCCAGCTGTTCACGGTAATATTGTTGTCTCAAGCCTGGCAATGTCAAGGGGCTCCTTGGTAATCGGGCTGTATGTTTTGGTCAATTTGAGGTTGCCATGGAAACCTGGCGGACTGTGCAGTATGGACGGGCTGGATATGGAGGTGACAATGATGGATGACGTGTTACGCGCAATCCTTGGTCCCGACTCCTCCATCACGTTCTCCAGCTGTGTAGGCAGAGGGAGGGAGAGAGAGAGAGAGATGTTCAGGTATTGTGACTGAGACTCAACATGTCTGATGTGAGTAGGCGGCTGAATGTGTGAAAGAAATACACAGGGAGGTGAGGGTTAAAGGAGACATGGACGTTTTATAAACTGTTGCTGTGATTTGGATCAATACAACTCTCCCCCCTACTTAACCTGCCAGCGCAAGACATGAAAGAGTCACAGCTGATCAAAGGCACTGATTGATTGGATTGATGAACGGCTCTCCCACAGTGGCCTTGATGGAGTGGGACTGTATCACACGGTTCACCCCCTGAGATCAGTGGTTCTGCACTAGAGGAGCAAAGTACTCTAAATGAAGTTCAAGTAAATCCTTTAAGAAAGGTTAATTATTTTTTATTTCAACTTGAGTCTTATTTTTGTAGTTTTCGCTACAATTTCCATCAGTAAAAAATGTTATTGTGTTCACCATGTTAAAGGAATAGTTCTATAATTTGGGAAATATGCTTATTTGCATTCTTGCCAAGAGTTTAATGAGAAGATTGATACAACCCCTATGCCTGTTTAAAATGAAGGTGCTGCCAACAGCTGGTTAGCTTAGCTTAATATACAGAGAGGAAGGAGTGCAATGTGCACCTCTAAAGTTCGCTAATTAACAGACTATATCTTGATTGTTGAAACCCTAAAAATACAAGTTGTGAACAATCTAAGCTAACAAGCATTTACATAGATATATTAAGGACAACTGAATACAGCGTTGCGGGAAAGCTCCATTCATTCCTATACAAGCTTTATGTGTCAGTGACAAATTACCCGGATTTTCTGCATATGCCTCTGCATCATGTGGCCCATAGAGGAAGCGCACTAGATCCTTCCACCAGCCGAGCTGCTAACTTCCAAATTAGCCCTTCACTAACTTGAATGGAGATAAAATTATTTAATCGTGTGAATCAAACTTGCAGGGGTGTTGATGATGAAAAGAAATTTACAATGTAAGCTTAAGGGTAGAAGTCTTTTTGGGTCAATGTGCATCACGAGTTGGACGCCATTGCTGTAATTACACGGTTTGGCCACTATGTCAAATTACTTTCTTTGAGGCTTGAGCCATTAGCTGTAGCTTCATATTTAGCTAACAAACATTTAGCTTACATGTTCTAACTGTCAGCAAGTAGAGAATACGTTTATTTCCCAAAACCGTTCCTTTGATAATGTTAAGATCTAGGAATGCAGAAATACAAGTAAAAGGAAGTGAGACAGGATAAGAAATAAGTAGACAGGTTGTAAACAAACAGAAGAGAAACTTACTTGGAAGAGAAAAAATACTAAGGTGAACAGTAAAATGATTAACCACAGACATTGTCTGTTGTTGTTTTCCTGTGCAATGATGGATTATTACAGACATTTCAGGTGTACTCATTTTAACTGTTACCATCAAATAAAGGGGTTTAATCTGGTTACACTGATTGCTTGTTTTTTGCTCAGACTATGTTGCAGGGATGTTGTCATGTTCCCAGACCTCAGAAATCACTTTGGCGAATACAATCTTATCACAACAAAGATAAGATTTATCAAAAAAACAAACACAAACTTGACACAAACACATAAATACACCTAAACTCTTCATGTTTTTCTGTGAAAGTAAGTCTTTCTTAAGACAAAAGCTGCTTATGTGAACTTAAATCACGCACAACATTCTTTTAATTTCTGTAGAGCAGTCAGTCGATAATGTCTGTAAGGAACAGTCGATCAATCTTTACGCCACTTCACTCTTTTGTATTGACAGCAGAGGGCATCCAACAGATAACACAGTAAGTTGGTCACAGAAACATGGGGTTTAGGTGGGGAAGTATTCAGAGGATGGCAGGTTGAAGCTCCTACGCTTTTGATTTTCCACAAGCATTGATTAATATTGATGTCAGAGCAGCAGGAAATGAATGACATTGGACAGAACAGAAAGTATGATTGATTGCATTGACTAGAATGGGCATGGAAAAAGAGGAAGGACTAAAGAGATATGCCAACCGTTTCACATAACTTTACGCTTACTTTTAAACAGCTTGGTCATTTTCAGCAAGCTATTTGAAATGTGGTAGAATCATTGACCCTTTAAATACCCCTTAAACGCAAATGACGTAAGCCAGATGGGAAAAGGTTATGGATGGTGTGGGTTTCTATAATAAACAAATCCTTTGAAAAGACCAAAACAAACAAGGAAGTTTATCTCGGTTTCCATCTAAATGTAACGCAAATTTCAAGAAACTCAGCAAAAGTAAAAGCAAATTGTCGGAAGCTTCAGTGGACGTTTAATCCCAAACGTCATGATTCATTTGTAAAGTCAAGTCAAGATTTTTTCCAGGATTTTTTATGATCATAAATGTGCATTAAAACAAGGGGACGGAAACCCAGCTGAATGTTATCTTCAGTTAAACCCTGATGTAGCTTTTGATTCTGTTCCATAGAATTCCACTGTTGTCCAAAAACTATTAATAAAATATTCAAAAGTCCATAATGTTGCATTGAGTGACAATATTCCTTAATTACAATTAATATAGCCAGTGTTTTTATTCTGAAACAACTATGTAAACAAACAGTGACTACACTATTTAATCGTTGAGTATCTTTTGTGTTGCATATCACAATAATGATCTAATCTAAAACACATATGTTTTTAATGAGAAAAGTAACAATGTAATAATTGTGTTTGTCGCTGTGACAAGAAATATATGTTGACATGAAAAATATGTTGGATTAAATATAAGAAATATTATATACTATACTATACATAGTGAAACTACAACAATGAATAATGGATATTTACAAAGTGCATTGCTATAACAAGCATCAAGTTGTTGGCCACCAGTAGTAATTATTTTGAATGATATTTTGCAATACACTACAATAAAGACACTACTAAATAAAATTAGTGTAATAGTAATAGAAAAATGCTACTTTATGGTACCAGTACAATTACAGTGAGCTGAGAGGAATACACTGATCTATTTACTGTAAAGAAAGAAGAAGCTTCCACTAGCTTTTGTAAAACAATGGAGCTATATGGCGCAGATGGCTAAATTAGGTTTTTCTACACCAGTAATAGTTATGTTATGTTATACATGTTATTAAATAAGTTGTTGATTTTCATTTTTTCATGGGATTTGTTTATTTCTTGATACAAGAAATCTACATCTACTGCACAGAGGATGAGATGGATGATCAATGGACTCTTACAGTAGCAGGCAGATGACTGGTTTGCTGCAGACTGATGTCCGACATGGAGATGTCTTCAGGCTCTGTCAGAGTCTGAACAGTATGCACATAAACAAAGCCATTTAGTGTTAGTTATAATCAAAATATTATTTGGACTGTTTGAGCCTTCAGGTCACATTGTTACTGCAGTAAATACAGACCGACTTCAAATTGCGATTAGAACGCAGACCTTTCATATAAAGGAGTATCTCTCTTGAAAATCATGCCATGTTTTTTTTCCCTCCCATAGTTCACAGCTGTTGCCAGTAACAACCTCATCTCATTGTTTTCTAAGTAATCAAAATGTATTCTTAAAGGAATAGTCTGACATTTTAATACATGTATTTAGTTTTTTGAGAGTATATATATATGAGTGAGTGGTATTGATCTTCTCATGTATCTGTTAAATATTAAGCTTTAGCCAACAGCTGCTAGTTAGCTTTGCTTAGCATAGAGACTGGAAAGAGGGGACAAAGCTACTCTGGCTCTGTCCAAAGGTAATAAAATCCTCCTACCAGCACCCACCTCTAAAGCTGGAGTCTTGTCATCACTGTGAGGTTGCCAAGCAACAAGCTGAGACTCCAGGAAGTTACTGGGCATGGCCCAAGACTAAGTCCAGCATATAACCCACCATAAAAGCAGAACTTTACGCAATTTTTAAACAAATATATATAAAACATGCTAATTGGTGATCTTTAAATGCGCTGGTACAGATTGAGCTACCTTTAGAGAGAGCCTGGCAAGCTGTTTACCCGTTTCCAGGTTTAATGCTAAGCTAAGTTAACTGGCAGCTGACTGTAGCTTCATATTTAGTGTCAGACATGAGAGTGGTATCAGTCTTAAGGTAATGAGTGTATTTCCCAAAATGTCAAACTCCTTTAAGTCTAAAAGTATCAGATATTTAAAGTACTCCAGAGTTACCCTGGAAGTACAAAACTGAGTTTCTGTAAATAAATATTGTGATAAATTATTCTAACAAATATCTGCTAAAGAAAAGAAAATGCACAAGATAATGAAAATATGGAAAAGTAAAGGTTGTACTAATCACAAAGGGAGATTTTCAAACATTTCTTCTCTGTCATTCTACCCCACTGGCTGAAAATGACATTGTTTGCAAGAGTAAACACCAATTAAAGACAAAAATAAAAGTGCATATTCTCTGCTCTGTGCAGAGATTGAGGCAGATGAAAGTCAGAGACTCCGAGACAATCAGCCATCTTTGACTGCAAACAACTACAGTACTTTGAAACATGGGGCTGCATCATGCAAACTGTGGATTAAGACTGAAACACCCAGATTACTGGATTAGTCTTTGGACCCTCTGTAATGGAATCCTCAGGGAACCTGACCTGCATTGCAGTACGCTGGTATGTGTGTGTTTGCATAATGTGAGTACATGTGGGTTATTTGTTTTTTCTGTGAACTAAGATGATTACACGGAAATGCTCCATATATTGAATGCCCCACATGGAATGACCTGTCTCTTTCCATTGGCTTGACAGCAAAAAATTGTTGGGTCCAAACAAGCCTCTCTATGTACGTATGTTAAGATGCTAACTATACAATTTCAAGCACATATTATTGTATGTTTTCCATTTTCTATGCCTATTATTTATGCCTAAAGCGAGACTTCAGTGGTCGGCCAATACTAACGCTATACTCTGTGAAATATCTCCAGAAGTGCTAAGTCAAAAGGCCACTGGACTTGCTTTTGATTCTTGAAGATGTCAGTTCTGGCTTACTGGTGGAGAGTCAAAGGCATTTAACCTTTGTAATGTTGTTCACCCCTTAAGAGTCACTTAAGGTCAGATGTGGGTCGTTAGTCCACCTGTCTGTCATGTGAGAGTCATTGGAGGTGAAGGTGTGAATGGGTCCTTAACTGCCTAGAAAAGGATGTCAGGGCAGATGTCTGATCCAAATGGCCACACTGGAAGGTGGAGTGAAAAGCCGGCCATCTTAGAGACACGATATTGTTTAAATAGGGGTGCACATTTTCAGACAATCTCTCCTGGAAGTCCTTCATGGTATTGCGCTTGGTTGTTCACATAAAAGTAACAGAAATAGCTGTGCAAGAAATGGGTCTTTGAGAGAAACTCAAACCCTGGTGAATATCGTTGTTTTTTGGAAAGTTACAGAACATGTTGGACACAGCCCCCCTAATCTGATATCAGAAAGGTGTGGGGGGGGTTTCTCAGGTTATTTGACCAACCAACAGAACGTGCAAAACCACACCCTTTATTAGAACTAAAGAAGCGCTTTGGCTGTTTTTGTAAAGTATTCACCTGGATTCACTTACAAATTAGTGGTGCATTATAAAACTGTGATGGCTGATGTCACCATGTCATACTAAGTTAAAGCATTTAGCCTAATGTCAGGTGATTGTGGTATTCCAGTCTAGGGGATGGTAGTAGTCTTTGGAAAATCATGTGATAGTCTTGGAGCTACTGAATTCTTACTGGAACCTTAATTTCTGTGACTTTACAAAAAATGTAAACAAGGAGTGTTTAACTAGACTACAAAGCAACACGGCAAGTGACACTGAAACACTGTGATCCCAAAAATCCAACCATGAAGTTACAGGGGACCAAAGCAATATGGATTTATCAGATTACACGCTAAGGAATCCGCTTCATAACCGTGAAGAGTCTGGGTTTTAAGAGGGCTCCAACTAACGTGACCTCATAGAATTACTTGCCATGAAATACCGAACATAAACATGACATTTATTGAATTTAACAGGACTCTAAAACAGTATGACCTCACTTCTCAGACGCAGGAGGTGAGGATTAAGATCAATCTTGACGTAATGCCAAAACAGAAGTGAAACCTCACATCAAAAACATCATAAACTAATGTGGGAAAAGTTCAACTGAGCACTACATGACACAATATCTCAGTCAGACGACACCCATCTGACACTTATAGTAATAAAGTTGGAAATGTGTGACTTTCAGATTGAATACATCTTCAGTTGAATACATAGTGCATATTAAAGTATATAAGTAACAGCATGTTGACATAAACCCGACCCCGATACTCACTGTGATCTGTGAGAGTAGACATATGGCAGGGTCAGTGGGGTTGTGGGCAGGAGTTCTTTCAAACTCTCCCGTGTTGTGACCTCTCACCTTTGACCTCTGGCTGATATGGCGCACCTGTTTGACATCACTGGACAACTGACGAGGGACAGGAGTCCGAGATGAGTCTTCCTCCGTGTCTGAGAAGTGGGCCTGAGGCACGGACAAAATCATAGACACAAGACTAAAATCATCAACTTGTAACTCAAAGCATTTCTCATAGGTAGCGTAAGACAGAGACATACCATATTAGATATGAGATACACTCACTGATTCGCTCTCAGACACTGAGGAGTTGCGGGGCTTGCTGAGGCCTCTGCTCTCTGATTGGCTAGTGAGGGTTGATCGGCGAGTGGACTGGAAACTGCTGCTGCTGAAACGATCTCTGCCAGTAATGCACAGCAATCGCCCGAGGTAGGGAATGTACTTGCTAAGCGCTGACCTGAGAGAGAGATAGAGAGAATATTTAAATCCATAATTAAACCAATTTCATTATGTGTTAGTGAAGTGTGGGGCCCCCTGACATCCCTGGATGCCGAGCTGGTATAGGCCAATTTCACCTTTTAATTAGAGTCTTAAAACAGAGCAATGATCATTCAATGTCACATTAAAGCCAATGACCCCAGCGGTGACATTACAGAGCTCTGTGTTGCCAAGAATAGAAAATATTGTATTTATTTCACCACAGGGACATTACCAATGTGCTTTTCTATTCTACGTCAGCTACGAAGACCACAAGAACCGTGATCGGTCAGTATGGGCTGCTTGTTTTTCAGGAATGAAGACGACATCAAGCAAGTTGAAGAAAGGCGCAGTAATCTGCTGCCTTTCATTAAAACACATCAAACAAAGGCTTTTGCATTTGTCACTCTCTATAATGAAGTGAATGAAAGAAACATGGTGATTGCATAACATTAGTGGTCTCATTTCCACTTTAACACACTCACTCTATATCGCAAAGTGAATGAAAGAATGTAAATATAGTTTGGGAATACAATGGAGAATATTATTACTGTTGTGTGTACTGACATGATACAGCCTGATCACATACAGTACATCTATCTAATGTTACAGTGGTGCTATGTATGAGCGAATCAGACACTGAACTACAAATCTAGTCTAATAAATACATCTTAAAAGTACAGCACAGCCCTCACACAATCTGGACCTTCCAATTTATAGCCAAAGAAAAAGAAAAGCACCTCAACCAGCAGCGTTGTTACAACATCCGGATGTAAATTCATGCTATGGTTTAAGAAGAAAACACGGCAGGTAGAGCTTCGATATTTTATAGAAATGAGGAGTAATATGAGGCCCATCATAAACAAGGAGAAACTTGTTTCTGTTGAGTTATGTTATATAACAACCTGAAGTCAGTTTAGTCAGAAACAGAGACACTGCTCAAAATCATCATTGCCACCCCAATGACCACATGAGAGTGTGAGAGAAACTTTCCCACACTGAAAACAATCAGGACATTTACACGCAGCACAATGGGATGGGAAAGGATGAACGCCCTCTTATCAAATTCATTAATAGACTTCTGCTCCCGCAGCAAAGCTACAGAGAAGTTTGCACACATAAAACAAGACAAGCCACCTTTCTTTTGGAAATAAGGGCATTCCAGGAGACCCAGCCATGTGGTACTCTGACTTTATCCCACAATTAGGCTACTACTTTTGTTATTCTCTCTCTCTGGTTGTGTTGTCTTGTGTTGTTTCGTATAACATGCTTTAGTATCAGCATTCAATTCAAATTAAATATTCTACCACAACCAAAACTGTAATTAATGGCATTAATTTGATTTGACATTAGAACTCTTGTGTCAGATACTGCCTGCTAAAATCTAAGTGCCTTGATCTACCAAAATGTTAGTGCCAAAAACACCACTAACACCAACTACTATTATCCTTTATTTTATTTAGCACTGATCAGACAATATTGATTATATAACCAGAGACTGAAAGAGTTTACTACATATGGACTGAGTGACCACACCCTAGCTATTGGGACTGGTGGACACGGACAAACCTGGCAGCACAGAGAAAACAGAGTCCGTTTTGCCAACAACAAGCAGAGGAAGAGCAAGAATTTGACGCACTTTTACACCAAAATAAAACTTTTTTTACTTGCCATGGAAGCAGCAAAAATATGTCAAAGCATGTCTGCCTGAGGAAAAACTAGAAACACATAGAATATCACTGCCTCCTATTTCTAATTTTAAATCTTTTTTTCTTGATTCTCACTATTACCACAGTTAAAAAACTGTGCAGCTCTTTCTATCATATACATTTTTAGATTCTTTGCAATGTCCTCATGTTTTTCTTTATTTGTCTGACATTTGTCTGTCACATAATATACTGTGTAGTATAGAAAAGTGGTAGTATAGTGTATATTATACTTACATTGTAAAGCTCATACAACCTACACTGGCAATACTACTCCAATAATAATAGCCTGGGTAAGCAGTGAATTCAGCATAATGTTATTTCCACACCATCAATTTAATTTGTTGTTAATAAAACCTAATACTTGAGTGTGCATCCTACCTGTATTTGGGATGTGTTATGGCATATATGATGGGGTTGTAGATAGCAGATGCTTTTGCAATCACAGCAGGAACAGAGTGCATATACGGAGTTAACAATTCAGCATACCTAAGAGGCAGGAGAGACAGATGTGGGCAAGAGGAAGAAAAATGAGACAAGGAAATGAGACACATTCATGTGACAAGGGCAGTCGTGGGTCTGTTTTCTTGTACAGGATTAATGGAAAGACACAGACTCACTTTCACTTTTGCCTGGCCAAGAAATAGTCCCTCACAGTAAACTAAACAACACCTTTTTACACTTGTTTTTGTACCTAATAAACAAACCAGACGTAACGTGTTGATGTTGCATTCATGTTATTGTTCAAAGACCCCATAAAATGTGTACTTGAACTCAAAAATATGTAGTAGGTGTAACATCTAATCAATAAACTCAATTTCACTCTATTAATAGCCAATTAGTTAACAGTTAAGATTGACTGACCCCAGCACTCAAAGGCAAACTCATCACATTAAGGAGGCAATGATATCATATGATATTTGCCCAGGTTTTAATAGATGTGTCTCTCCATGGGATTAAAGTTGGGGTGCAACATACAAAAACAGGGTTGTAAACAGTTTCCACTGGAACAACTTTCTACCAGATATGAACCACTTTCTGCCCATATGAACTACTTTACATGCAAAATAGATTTTGATCGATAGATAGATTTGGCCACTTAAAAGAGTGACAACAAGCTGTAAACATATTATCAGACATATTATCATCTTATGAAGTTGATGTGTTGAACTTGTTAGCCAACAGTTCACAAATGTAGAAGATACGCAGCTACAATGTCATCCATTTGGATTCATTTTTCTGGGCACAAAACGCTCCTTTTAGCTCTGTTTTTGGTCTCTACCAACTCCTGAGGGAAATATCGGACTCTTTAGCTGCTTAATGCTCCACTATGTTCACCAGCTGGTGTTTGTCTGCTGTTTGGTGCTGAGCAGATGGTGTACAGTAGGTTTTTAAAACTTTTTTTGCTGAAAACTGCTAAAGTTTTGGGCCGGACAGCTAAACAATGAGCTAAAACTTGCTACCCATACAGCCAAGTGGAGCTGCAGATTGAGGTGATAATTCTCTGTAAATTCATCACTATATGAATGACCACTGTCACACTGTTTAATACAATGTTATTATAAAAAATATTGTTTATAGGCTGTTTAACTAAGATCTGTCCTGTGATCCCATGTTTTTGTTTTTCATGATGGGGATTGGCTACCTCAGAATCCTTATTGTTGCTTGGATGCTTTAAGAGCTCCCCTAAACAGCAGACACCTAATCTGACTGTACTGTATAACCATTTGCTCTAAATGTGTCGGAATCAGGATTAATGTCCCATCTTTAAGGTTAAAATGGAGAGATGGATGAATAATGAATAATTCAATCAGAAATTAGAAGTAGTGCTTTATTATTATGAACCATAGCCCCCCGAAGTATAGTGCTTTGCTGGTTTTCAGTTCTTATGATGATTTTTTGACATCACTGGACTGTAAAAAATGTCTACACACACACACCTACACACTTACCCAGCAAATGCAGTGAGGGCTGCACAGGAATAAGGGGCCCAGGAGATGACATATAGCAGGATGACGATGAGAGCGATCTTGGCCATCTTCCATTCACTCCTCATCTTGTTGAACCTCTTTGCGGAGTCTCTGGTTCCCTCACAACTGATCTTTGTTATCGCTCTGTCACACACATACACACAGTTATGAAACTTCTTTTGTTTGCTTTTGCTTTCAATATTATTTATACATCAAGTTTGACATTTCAATATGTTTTTTTTACTTTTATTGTATTTTTCTTTACAGTTACAGACAGCTATAACTTATTGACATAGATATGTGTTATCATGTGCTCCCACATTCAATTTCTTCATCACCTACATTGCCAGTGCAGCCCGTTAATCCTGTATTAGTGTTCAGGTTGAGTGAGACATCAGTGAAAATCGATAGAAAAACCCAGACACATCGTTACTCAACAAGACATCAGTTTCAACACGCGCACAGCACCGTGTCAGACACCCATGTGTTTATTGATGCATGTGGGAGTGTGTGTTGCAAGACTGAACAAGATAGAAGCATGACTAACATAACAGTGTGTGTGTGTGTGTGTACCAACCGTGTTGTGTGCCGGATGGCTCTGAAGATACAGCAATAGCTGAAGATGATGATGAAGAGTGGAATGAAGAAGACGAAGATAAAGAGCAGCATGGTGTAGGAGCGGACAGAAGGGGTAAACGTCATGTAGTCCCAGGAACAAGATGTCATGAGACCCTCTGGGACATAGGCACCTGTGGGAGAACAGACGCACTATAGTGGTTGCTTTTCTATCAGTTACACCAACGGACACACAA